AATACAGCACCGTCCTGCCTGTCACTAACTCTTCTGCTCCCTCTGATGACTTCTTCCCTCTTACTTCACAAACACAGTGGTCATACAGCTCCCCAGAGCAGCACGATGCAAGTAAGTCCATTCCTTTCCCTCCCCAGACTGAAGGAAAAGGAAGGCAAAAAGAATAGAGAAAGCCACTAGCCTACACTCAGGACACCAGCACTTTTCAAGAGCTGCAGTGCTGTGATTCAGCAAGCATGCACAGAGATAACAAAGTTATTACCTTCATGACTGGCTGGGCAAAATACTTCGCACTCCAGTCACAAAACCCCGTCTGCACCGTGGCTGAAATGAAACTTTTGTGTCCAACGGTATCATCGGCATCATCAGTAGTCTGTCCAGAAAGAGAACAGGGTGTTAATCCCTCCCATTCACGCAGGCAAGATGCATACACAGTAATACCCAGATTCAACAGATCACCAGGCAGAAAAAAGCTCAAACACATTGCCAAGGATACAAAATTTTTTACATGTAACTTTAAGATCACTGTCATAACATTAACTCTTTGGAAATGCGCAGATTCCCTCATCTGCACAGCACAAGACATAATCAGGCTACTGTCTGAATCAGGGCTGAAGCATTAGTGTATCATCAAAATGAAGTCCCAGGATGAGTTTTCTCATGGTCTTCCAAGCATTTGGCATAAGAAACCGTGGAGCAGTGAAGATGATTCAGGATAAAGCACAGCCGGACACAGCTTCACATCAAGGGTGTATATGCATTGAGTATCTGTTACGAAGCACAAGACATCCAAAAAGAAAATGGAAAGACCACTCCATTCAACCAGTTTTCAATCATTTTTTCAGAAATACGATCCAGGCTAGTGCTGCTGTCCCCATGAGAAGTGAAGGTGTTCCTGCTAGGGCTTCAACATTTTTTTTTTGTAATCACATGGAAGAATTGACTCTCCACCTCCAATAGCTTCTGTGAGATCACTCATTAAAGAAAGGCAGAAATGCCAATTTAAGTGAAGAGCAGTTGCTTCTCAGTAGTCAGAACATCCGAAAGCTCTGCCGTCCACTTGTCCTGTGGACTGGTGGACTGCAATGCACATACCCCACAGCCTCAGATGGGAGAATCCTTCTTTTTTATAGTGCCAGGAGGGAGAAAAGGAGGGTCAGTGTCCTCCCCCACCACACTCTGTGCATCAGTACAGACAGCAAAGCACACCTGCTGCCTTTTCAGCTTCCTCTCATCCACAGAGCCAGCACCAGAAAAATCCTGGAAATGTGCTGAAGTAGAGGGAGAGGCAGACACAAAACTACCGCCAGATGGCTGAACCCTGAAGAACACCGACCATTGATAAGTACGGTCTCTATCTTCAAGTGATGGCCACAAGCATGTCCGAGCGTGCTTGGGCTCAACAATATTCATACGACATGACTCATCTGAAGTCATCTGAAGGTGACATTCAGAATCCCTTGTGCATACTAAAGTCTGACTGATTGCTCTACTTGGCACCACATCAGTCCTTCATGCTTCTGTAAGTGGAAAAATGCCCAGTACCCGATGATTGTCTTTAGAATGCTAAAACATATGCAAAACCCTTGCTGGCTTGCTTGCATGCTGAAAAGAGGAGTCACTGCCATTCCTCCCAGAGGTCCTCACAGCTCTTGACTGATCAGCTCTCTCCCAGCAGCGCGACCTGTTACGAGCTTTGGTCTTCCTAGGAATAGTCTGGGTTCACGTCCTCCCTTGTGCGTAGTGAAGAGGGGCTGCCAAGTGTGGAGGGGGTCAGAACCACTGGAAAGAAGGTGAATATTCTGATGCAGGAGCACCTATCAGTCTCTCGAGAGGAAAAAAACTCTTCAGTCCCTGCTTTGCTGAGGTTGGAGAAAAAGCATTTGAGGGTCACAGATCTGACTCTGCATTATCACTCATGCAGACAAATGTTTATGAAAGAATAAACAATCAATTCTGATTAAACACTTCTTAGTAGCAGAAGTGAATAATGCCCTATCAAAAGCTATAAAAAAAAAAATTATCCTGAAGAAAAAAAAAATAATCAATTTTTATTTTACTGGTTAGAGGAAGCCAATCTGGAGGTAACAGCAGCTAGAAGCAAACAACAGATACGTAGAAATAAAACACAAAGAACAGAATGCGTAGCAAAACCCAGTGGAAGAGGGAAGTAGTCAGATCTGAAAGGAAGTCTCTTTACCTGTTCTGGCCCTTTGTCAAACATTTTTCTTGTCCTGGGGAATTGGTGGGAGTGGGGAGTATACTGAACCCCCATGTTGCCGACATTGGCAGGTCTTACAGATGTGATGTCCCGACTGACTGGCTGTTTTGTCACATCATTTGTCAGGCTGGAGCTGCTCGTACTAGTGGTGGGAGGCGACCCTCTAAAGATCAAAAAAGAGGGAAAGGATTTAGGCATCACTGGACATGAGACTACATGGACATGTAATATGAATTATATTACTTTGTTTCTTTCTTACAAGATTTATACTTCAATGGTGTGCTTCCTCTACAAAAAAAAAACAAAAACAAAAACCAAAAGAACACAATCCCCCCATCCCCTCCCAAAGACATACAAACCCCAAAACAAGAGTGAACTTTCACTGCACCAACCCCAGATTGAGGACAAGAAAATCAACATTTTGGGAACCTGCAGGTCCAGCAGTCACACGCCCACAGGTCACTATGTCTGACCTAAGGCACACCGACTAGCCGTTGTATTTCAATGGGGAAACTGGAAGTCCTGTCAGCCCACAGAAAAGCATTTTAATTTACACGTAAACTGAGATTTATCTAATTGCACAGTTACATTATACTATCAGAAAACATTAAAAAAAAAAAAAAAAAAAATCACTGTGCAGTTCTGGGCCCTTCGTTTCAACTGTGAATCTTACTGGTGCACATTGATTATGGGGGCTGCTAGATCTAAGGCTTGGTGTTTTCTCTTGGAGAGCCGGTTTTGGGAAATAATCAAATTTTCAAACCCTAGCTTTGCCCGTACCATTATCTCAATTTCACTGCAGTTTAGGCATCACTTGTTGATCATCAGACAACCCTGGCTTTTATCAGCTGAAAGTGCAGAAAATACAGATTAGACTTCAATGGGAAATTTGGATACCACACAGGTCAGGCCAGAGTGCATCAGTAAAATCAGCAACAGTTAGCTCTTCCTTTCAATTCATGTTTAGATAATTAGTGTGGCATGTTACTCTTTGTCCTAAAAAGAAATACAGGAAGAAACTCCCCACCTTTTCCCAGAGCTTCTGTTTCTGAACACCTTACCAGTGCTAAAACAGGAACCTTGGCAGGTTCACTCTGCTGCAGTTAACCGGGATGGCTGCTGGAGTGGTCACTGGCAGGGAGCACCTAAACCCACTACGGCGAAAGTGCTAGAGAGCAACGCTGGAGCTTACCCCACTTGGTGGATGTGCATGCCCTTGTTGGTGGGGCTGGCAGGGGCCGACTGAGTCAGCGAGGAGGTGTCGAGGATGCGCTGGGGGCGAGCATTTACTGTTGCCTAGAGAAAAAACACAGCAGAGTCCTGAACAGACAAGACTGCAAAACACCAACCGCAGCTGTTTATTATCTAATACAATTGCACACCTGGGGTTAAATGAAGTTAAGCTCTCCACCAGTGTGCGTGTGGGTGTTTAAAAATGTATAGGAAAAAAAGCCCCTGTGCAGTTCCCAACACATAAGATGATTTTACTACTTTTTTAGTCAGAAAACGCTCACCAGAAAGTACCCTTCTGTTACTTACAAAGGGAAATGGCTTTGACTAACACATAAGCCTTTTCCCTAAATCAGTTGCAGCCTCTGACCTGTACCAGCACTTCGAAACAAGCTGCCGCCGGGCAGGCAGACGGCCCGGGGCTTCCCCTTCAGCAGCCAGGCTTTCCCTCCCACCCCACACAAGAGGACTGCACTTCTCACCACAACGATAATTTGAGCGCCCGTTCTGACCCTGATTTCGTGTTCGAGTCAGAACTCTCCTCGTAAATCCGGCAGCTGCCTGAAACTGCCTCCTGTTGCTGCTCCATCTCCCCTAACGAGAGCCAAGCTTTTCTGGAGACCGTTGGAGGACGCCCTTCCCAGCAGCACCACATCCGCTCTTATGGGGACGGCAGGGGATTTACACGGTTGGGTTGCTCCGAGCTCTACAAAACAACAGCCAGTCCTCCTGCAAAACGGCACCCTGGCACTCAGCCACCAGCTAGAAGAGACCTGTTTCTGAAAGAGCCTGCGAAGTTATCATCCTTTCTCCCGGGGAAGGCCTCAAACGCGAGCGGGGAAAGGCTACATCGCTGTCTCGCACTCCTCCAGCTGAGCGCGCTGCTCACACCTGCAAACAAGCCTCCCCTTTAGAACGGGAGAAGTCCTCCATTGCTCACGGACTCCTTTCCTCCTCTTCCACATTATCCCGCCTTCTGTGAAATGTTTGAGATTTCTCACATATTGAAATAGCTTTTAAAGGAAGCCCCAGACTGGCATAGAAAACCTGGAGGGACAAATACGGCTACCCCACCGGCAAGCTGACTTATCGTCTCTTCAGACACTAAGAAAATCCACATCTCGCAGCACAGGAGCCGAGTCTCAGGTGACGACACCAGGGCTTGTACCCAGCTAAAACCAAGCTGAGCAAGGGAAGACCAGCAGCTACTGAAACACAGAGCGCACAAAAAGCAAGAGCATGGTCTTTGGGAGCCAGACAGCTAACGAGCCTTTTATAAGTTAATGCCTTACAAGGCAGAACCAACAACCGTCGTGAACAACAGTATCCGTCTTTGCACTCAAAGCCCACACGTGTCTGCTGCAGAGAGAAGTCTGAGGTGCTTGTGCTTGGGAGACACGCTGCCCTCTCCTTGCAGGAGCCAAAAGGCCTTCTGAGACAACCTCCACCTCTCCCTTCCTCAAACGACCCAGCGAGGTTTTCACCTCCCTCGCTTCGACAGGGTTCGAGCCCTCCTGACCATCATTTGTTTGGCTCCGAAGGGCAGGAGCGGTGGTGGCCGTCACCACGCAGCACACCTACACCACAGCAAGCGCCAGATTGCTATGGCTGGGAAGGCAAGTGCCATGACCTCGGTTAGCCTGGCTGCCCCCGAGCCAGCCTCCTCGTACAAGACAAGCTCATTTGATGTGTTATTTTCCTCCTTTCCATATGGGGGTGGGAGGGGTCCTAAAGGTCACTCATCTCTCCCCACTCAGGAATGCAGTGGGGTCTCTGGTGAGCAGACGTTACTGCACGGGGCTGGGACAGACGATCACCCCATGAGAATGGAAAGAAAGCAGAAACTATTTAGCAACTAGTGACATATTATTATTCATAACTAATTTTAATTAGTCACAGAGGGCTCAGTTTTAAGATTCTCGCAGTCAGGTCTCTGTCACCTGAAATGGGTCAGGTCTCCTTGTTTCACAGCAGAGGGACAAGGTCAGCTAACGATAATTTGCTGAAGGGGTACACCGAGAGATGAGCGTGGCAGACAACCTTCCTTTTCCTGGGAAAAATAAAAAAGCAATTTCTTTTCTGAAGGCAGCGAGCAGTGTGAGGGCCGCACTTCAGTGATATGACAGCGTATTTTGCTGGAGGCAGCAGCTCCCCATTTCCTGGGGATTTGCGCCTTTGCCAGTCAAATCATCCCTTTTCAGGAGGGGAGATGGTAATTCATAATTTTGCAAACTGACTCTAGGTTAAAGAAAAAGAGCACACTCTCAGAATTACTTGCTCATGCACAGAAAAGCCTGAACCAAGGAATGATGTTGTGGAGGAATAATTCCTGGTGTCATTCAGCCTCGAGCCTTCCATTTAGAACAGCTGGATGAAGCAACGTGGCAGGAAGGAAACTTTCCTTAATTAATTGTGATTCCAAAAAGTCTTAAAAGGCCAACATTGCTTACTGGGTCTTTTTTGATTGTTTTGGTACAGGCAAAAAGTGTGTTTGGGATTTTTTAAAAGATGCTGGGGGGCTGGGAATGAGAGTTGTACCGTTCCAGTCTGCATCATAAATATAAATCACAACACCGCCGCAATCTGTGTGAGAACTAGCAATGTCTAATCAGCCCATGAAATAAACCGGCAGATTTCACATCCAGGAAGCATGCACGTCTGTGCAACCTACTCACCGGCTGCTCAGAAAGACATCACCCTATTTAAAGACCACTGGAGTTCTCCTGTCGATAAAGATCTATATTCATGGCTCTGTTAAAAAACCTGAATAGGACCGGTCCCATTTGAAAATAAAAATTCTGCTTTAAATTCACGCAGTGCCTTACAAGTAACTATTTTACAAACGCAGACTTTAACCTGGACTTTTGCACAATCACAAAACTCACAGTACTGGTCCCGTGTTTTACTGCAGGGGATTAAAAAGCGTAGCAATATTTACTTCTTCTAAGCTCTCCAACCACACCGCTCTCAATGTGTTGTCTGATCACCCATCAGGGCAACCGAGTTACAGGACTAACACCTGCCCGGTACAAAATAAGTTTAAAAATATAAAGACTTAAAGCACAGAGCTTGGCAACATTTTGAGGCTAAATATTTAGTTCACCAAAAATGAAGATGCAGTTCACCGATACCATCCAGAAGTATAAGCCCATGGCTAATTTGTTCAGGTCTTTCAGCTAAGAAGCCCAACAGTAACAGGCAAGGTCGTGCAGATCGCAGCGCTTTGTTCAGTTGTTAATACAAGAAACCTTCAGCTGTCCAAGTTCCAAAATGAAGCCTCTTGTTCCTTGCATTTTGTATTAATTAGAACAAAAGGATTAAAGCCCTAGAATATTCAAGTGCTTTACTTCACCTGAAGCAGTATTTTTGTTTAAGCAAGAAAATCAACTTTTGTTTTTATTCAATGATAGAACTCAAACAACAAAATGGAAAATGCATTGTTTGCACATACTCGGGAGGACCAAAGGGCCCGTGGGCAGCATCCAGGCTGCTCCCTTTTACATCCAACAAAGCTTGATTAGCACCAAGCAAAGATCTCAGGATACAGTTAGCAAAAATTTAATTGTTACGAATTTGCATTACTCATGAGACAACTCCTATAATCCGTCTGAGCTCACACCAGCAGAGACACGGAGTTCACGCTGTAAATCCTGGCAGCACTGCTCACAGCAGGAGCTTTGTCCATAATGAAATGAATAAAGGCCAGATCATAACCCAGGATCTGAAGCCTTAACTTCCATTTTGGTGGGCTGTTAATAGGATTTTTTTTTTTTTTTTTAATAAAATAAAAAAAGCCTTTTTAGAAGCCACCTAAGCCAGGTGGTACTGGCAAAAGCAAAGCCCACAGTATCACGAAGTGCACAGCAGTTAGCCCACTATATACGCAGCTGCCCAAACCGCATTTTTAAATACTTTCCTTATGGATCTTATGGCTAAGGCAAAGAAGAACAAATAAGTTTTGTTCACTGAAGCATCCCCAGATAAAAATCTTTGTAAATGGGAAAATATCTTTGTAAATGGGAATGCTTCTTTTATTATTTTGCAACACCATTTGAAAAGCCATTGCCTTAGAAAGCCAGGGACAGAGCCGCTGTCTGAGAAGCAGAGCGTGAGATGCATGATAGCCATCCACTTGAGCTTTTGGACTCCTTTCAGTACCACGACATCTAGGTCCAAACTTGTCAGAATCAACACAGAATTTACCAAACCAGTTGTAACATTCACTACAGATACCACAACATAATGATCAAAATTCAAAACCCATAGCAGTGCTAGGGAAGACATCTGCAGGGCACAGCAGCATCTTTATTAATATTTATACATCTCTTTCCACTAGCAAGGGAGTAAGTCCTGAAAAAATATTTAAGACAGGAAAAGCAGATCTGGTTCCTCTTTATATCCCTTTTAATCCCATAGTAGGAGTAACACTTCATTTTGCAAAGAGCTTCCAAAATACAAAACTGAAATAGTTTCATCCATCTAGAGCAGAGAGAGGGAAATCTTTCACCTTTCCCTTTTCTTATTCACCTTAGCTTGGCATCTCCAGCCTGACAGTAATTTGTTGTACATCTGAATCATCAGGGAGGGCTGACCTCGTTGCCCCCACTCTCAAAATAATTCTCTGTCCCAAACCCCAGACTTTACCGCTCACTGACAAGAGTGTAAAACAAATAAGAGAGTTCAAATAAGTAACTATTTTCTCAATAGAAAATCAGATTTAAAAGCAAGAAATCTCTAAGGCATTAAAATGGTAGTGCACAATGCTGGCATCTCTTACTGCAACTTTAGCTTAGGAGCCTAGGTCTGAAGATTTAGGATTATTCACTGGAAATCATCAGTAAGAGACGTCATCTTGCACTGCAATGGCTCATGGTCTGGATGCTAGAGCAACTAGAAAGCACGTGGGAAGGACTGCGTTCAGACAGCTTTCCGACCACCGGCTGGGGCAGAAGGGGGAAGGCAGTTGGTGAGAAGATGTTCTGGGGTGGCCTGTGCTTCGTTTCAGGTGGAAGGTGAGGGTGCTTCTACAGCTCCCTAAGCTGGCAGTTCCGAATCAGCAGTGATGGCAGCCTCCAGGGACATCTTGTCACCCTTGGAGGATGAAATGTGATGAGGATGGTGGTTTAGGCGGATCAGGCCTGGGTTGAAGAGGTGAGTAGTGGCAGGGGTGTCTGCATGCTGACTCACATGTACTAGTTCACCTGGATTGGAGAGCCGTTGTGGCTTCAGTCTGCAGGCCAGTCCCACTTGCATAATCTAAATCAGTTTGCAAACGGATAATTTAATGAAGTATATTTAAGGTTTCTCCCAGGGACTGATCTAGATAAGTAGACTTCTAAACAAGACCTACTGTCTAAGTTCTGTACCTAATTTATATCCTAGAACAATCCCAGGCCCTCCCCCATTTATTTACTTTACCTGATGAAGAGTTCATATGAGCGTTTATCATTTTGAAACATCAAAAGCTCCTTCTGCAATAGATCCAGACTGAACTAGGGCCACTTACCAGAGCCCTATGGATCTATTCAGTTCAGTCTACCTATGCTTTACCTAAGCATGAAAAAAATTAACATACAAAAGCCTCACAGGTGCACATGAACACAGAAAGGCATACCTTGTAGGCAATACTGTTGAGAACTTTCATAGCCAAGTCGGAGACATCAGGATAGGGGTCGGCAGCTAGGTGAAGGAGTACTCTCCAAATTTGGGTATAAACACTGTTGAAACTTACACCTAAAATAATAAAAAACAAACCAAAAAACAAAGCCCCACAGCACATGACAATCCATCAACTCAAACTCTTTGATCTTATGTGAGAAAATTCATTAGAATTCCAAACATCACAATGACAGCTAAGAAAACATCAAGAGAAGAGCTCAAAAACACCCTTCATGGGCATTTTGTCTCCATTTTGTCTTTCTTTGTGAACTCTGCAAGGGCTTGTAAAATGAAAGTGGGAGAAAGAAAAATAAATTAAAGGCTACCTAAATAAGCTTCAGCCAAACTGCTAGTTTTCTAGGCTCCCGAAGCAAATAATCTGAAAAGGCCAAATGGAAGACCAGATAATGACTTTGGAAATCCTGAGCTAAAATACTAAACGGTATAAACCCACAGTTAGTGGCTTATGTTTTTATGGTTATTTTTACTGCTGTTTTAAGCATTAATACTCAGCTTGAATGTTCAGGGTTTTATATATTCTGCAAGTTTACTAAACATCTAAATGTTAAAAATGAAGCTTTAGGACCTGTACCTTTGAGAAGCAGTAAGTCTAACTCAGCCTTTCCTATTGACATTTGTATCAATTCCTCAATTGCCAATTTGTTATTTAATGAGCATATCTGCTGTTTGGTATTTCAGCAGAAGGGACTGACAGATTCAAAGTACAAATCAAATTAATAAGCATTTGCAACAACTGACAAAATTTTGTGAACATTTTATTTTGCTGCTTTTAGGCGAATCTTTAATTTGTTATTCTTTCTTCTAACCCTCACAACATCTAATAGTTGTAACACCGTCATCTGGGAGTTGAGCCATTTGGACAATATTAAAGTGGTTGCATTAACAAAAAAAGGAACTAAAACAGGGATTTCAGATGAGTCACAATCAATGGTAAATGACAGATCAAGCTGTTACTGCATTTCCTTTCATGTTTCTGGAGGCATCTAAATATAAAGTGTTAAGTTAGGAAGAAAGGGTTCCTTGGTCAACAAGCAGCTTCTCACCTTGCATAGCTGCTAAACCTGATACTCAAACCAACAGAAAATAGACTTGGACAGTTCAGTTTTGAACTTTGGCTGAAGAAGGCATGTAGCGCTCCGTAATAAGCTTCTATGCTTGTCTGCACTAGCCAAGGGAATCTTTCTTCTGCCAGGAAAATTCCCCAGCATGTGAGAAAGCATTCTGCAAAATGCAAAGGCAATAACCTAACTCCATCCTCTCATTTGACCAGCAGAGAAAAGGGTCTCTTACTCAGCTGACATCCAAAGGATTTTCCAAGTGGCGTCTACTTACGGAGTCTCATGCAGAAATCTCACAAATATTTACGACAGCACCACTTGGACAGTGCTACCCATTTGCTGGGGGCTACCTACGCAACAGACTCCTGTAGCCAATTCTAACCTTCCCAAGACAGGTAAAACACAGGGCCTGACAAAGATACAACAATGTTAAAACCACCTAGGAAAAATGAAGTTGATAATCCAAGAAAGCAATAACTGTCAAGATACAGTAGAGTCCAAGGGCACTGATCTGCCATATGTGGTTTATGCCAGCTGAAGATAGAGCCCAAACTGTACAAAATCAAGGAACGCGTGAGCACAGTGTGCACGAGTTGAGCAGAAACGACTTAGAACGGTGCAGATCCAAGCTCAGGTTTTGGCTTTGGTCATAATCGGCAAAAGTCCTTGTCTTTTTCAGCTCTTGTGTCCGTGTTTAAAATAAAGAAAATGTCAATACACAATAAAGTCTCTGCTCAGAAGAGGGTTAGGCCTCCGAACCATAAAGGATGGTGATACAATGCTTGTCTGTCTTCTCCAGGCTTCTGACCATTTAGGTTTTATTTTCGCAATTGCCATGTTCATCCTGGAAGCTTCTATTACCAGGGAAAGAAAAAGGGGAGGGGGAAGGAGAAAGAGCAAGAGAGGGAGAGAGACAAAGTGCTACAAGCTGTGGGAGAAAAAACAGCCCTAGCCACTGAAGCAGCTAGCCAGGTAATGTCATCTGGGCTGTGCTCAGAGCTCTACCTCCTCCACTTGGTCCTGTGCTAGAAGGTACATAAGGATCGATGGGAAACCTGAACGGCTTGATTTCTTTTAAAGCCCTTGAAAGACAGTAAATGGAAAGGGAGAGCAAGAGGCTACCCATCAGTTTTTCTAGTGTCTCTGATAACCTCCTCACTCATGGCACAGTCACGAAGAAAAAACCCAACGACATTTTTCATGCATCTAAGGGTCATGAAAAAACAAATTTTAAACAGAACTGTGCCAGTGCAATTCCTCATTCACTGGGCAGCTTTTGAAAAGAACAGAGGGAATTTCTACAAAGGCATCTCAGGCTCGGAGCTGGTGCTCGAAGGACTGGTCCTTTCTTCTGCCATCCTCCCCCCACCCATGTTAGTGTTGTTCATTGCCCGGATTCAATCAAGTGACACATCTGACGTAGCTCCTTGTAAAAACCTGAGCACCGGAGCCAGTGGGATAATGGAAGGCAGCAGAGGTGCCAGGAGGAACAGCAGCTTGATTTCATGTAATGGACTAAAATGCAAAAAATATCCACGAGATGCAAACAAAGAGCCGAGCAAGGGGGACGTGGTGTTAATCTAAGCAGACAGCTCTGTAATTAGTCAGACTGATTCAAAGCCAGTTAAATGGACCTTGCAGTATAGATTTATGTTTACAAAATGATTCCTCTCTACTAAGAATGTCAAAAATAAATTGCCTGCCTTTACAGACGACTTTGATTTTCTTTGCATATGCATAACTCTTAGTTCAATTTAACAGCAAGCATCATTCAATGGCCCTGAGGAAGGGACTTGGCTGAGGTCCTGCAGCCGGGTCACTGAGTACACGAAGGGTAGAGCCACACTGGATGCAAAAATGAATGCTAATGTTTTCATTTATCGTTTTTGTTTTGCCAGGCTTTGACAGGGTTTCTTTCTAATCCCCTGTAAAAATCACTGCAGTGATTTTAAGCCTCGATCTCCAGAAGAAGGTGCAGTCCACTCCCCACCCAACACAGCAGCAAAACCTGACCAATGGCTGGACCGGCGCTGCCGCACGCCGCGGCCCGGGGGCAGCTCCTGTGCCTGCACATCCCTGCAGGGAGAGGCAAGTTTCGGACTGGCGGTGAAACACAGCTGAAATATTTCAGACTGAACGGTACCTGGGGACTCGGGTATCTGCTTCCCATCAACGCTGATCCCACCTGCTTTGTAATGTGTACCCCACAAGTCTCTCCTCTTCCCGTGAGTGACACAGAAGTCCTGTGAGAGCTACTCGGATGAAGAGAACATCTGAAATCCTGATCGCTCTCTGAACTCTACTTTGACAAAGGTGGACGGCAGCCTGTTCCTCAGAGGAACAGCAAATCAGCGTTTCTTGCACAGACCTGACAGTCTGCAAGCTGGTCTCTTTGCACGGGGCCGTGCAAAGGGGTTCCTGCACACTCCAACCCCTGACGGCGATGCAAATGGCAAAAAGCACGAGCTTTTTAATGTTTCAACAGAAACCAGAAGCAGCTCTTTAGGAAAAGGTATGTACCCTCAGAGCAGGCACTTCCCATGGACCAGGGCTGTCGTAGCCAACATGAAAGCAGCCCACCACGACCAGCCCATGCCACATCTCCTTAACTTTTCCATGGAGAACGTGAATGAGGCCAGAGCAAATAATGGCACATCAGGGGGGGGAAATAAAACAAAAAACCCCAACCATGTTGCTCTGTTCCCAGCTATCATACACTGACATTTCTCTCCCCATCCTGGTTTCCCCATTGCCTCAGTAATACCACACAAACTGCTTTCTGGCTTACTGAGCTATGCAGTATTGTCCTGGCCACTGCGTTAGGCTCCTCCATCTCACCTCCATAACGTCGGGTATACGTATGAACTGACAGGAAACCTCTACATCAGGCTTCCATTTCCAAAAACCACTCAGATCCCTGTATTTTGCTACCATGCAAGTTACTATTTATAAATACTGCTGGTTGACCAGTTACTTCTCATTATGACTGTGCATTTAAATATATTGCCTAGTGATAGAGAAGGAGGCTCTACCTGTCCCAACACTCACTCTCTTATTTGCTGCGGCTCACTGTCCACCTACATCTCTCACTTTCCTCATCCTCATTGCAGTAACCTCCTGCTGTAAGCATTACTTAAAGGTAGCTCTTCAGAACGGATCCTGTGACATGGCAAACAGTTTTCTGCCCCCAGCCTCTCCTGCTGGAAAAGAGAACTATTCCCCAGCATTTCATCGCTCCATTCATCGCTCTATTCATCGCTTTCATTCCTCCTTCTTTGATCATTCCTCAATATAATCTTTCCAGTGATGCTCTCTGCAGGACAAAGACTTTAATCATGCAGTTTGGATATGAATAATCAGCCTCAAGGTATGCAAAACCCCCATCTTGATTCCTTCCCTTTTCCTATCTTAAAACTAAACTAAACTAAAAATTTCCAGAACACCAAGATTAATGACTAGCTGTATGGAAAAAGTAGCAAGGCTTAGCTTCCCATCCAAACTGATCGCTTTGTTGACTAACCAAAAACTGCCTCTTGCCAGCTTGAAAACGTGGGCCAGAAATAAATGTCTCTTCTGGTAACAGGACTGTCTGGCCAAGGAACAGTCTGCCAGAAAACAGCACACCTAGACTAAAAGTACATGTTGCATTTGGGGGAGGCACTACCTGGGGGCATTTGGCCTACAGTTAGCTAGGAAGCTGTCTGTAAAATGGCACAAGAAGGAATGGAGAGCTTTTCCTCAAGTTTATGGGAAGAAGTACATCGTATGATGCCGCAATGTCAGTAAAGTGGATAGACTGATCCAGAATAATCCCTCTAGCACCATATTCGTAAAATCGCAAGAGGGGAAGAAAGCCCTGAACATCAGTGGATCAACCTAGGGAATGCAGAGTACAGAACACAGAATTAAACTGTGGTTGAAAATTTCTACTTTTATTATTACAGACCAGATTTCTGCTTTGGTTTGATTCTACCCATGTGCCCAAAGCATCCTTTTTACTGCTCTGCCTGTCTCAAATACTTGGCAGAGTCATTACTGCAGAGCCAAATCACCATTACTTCTTCCAAAAGATAGAGAGCAAAACATTTCTTCAGTCAAGACAAGTCTATCACCCAGGTGGACTCCCCTCTGAGTTACCCCACTCTTGCTAGCAGTATAGCAGTATTCCATTGCACACTAAAACTCTGAAGAAAGGGGTTAATCTGAGCCCAGGCTGGCTGTCCAGCAGCCACAGCACTACTGACGGTGACTGGAGCTGATGGCAAGGAGCAGGAGAGAGCAGAGGCTGGAAGATGGTGATTCCTCAGTAGAAATGAAAAGAGCCTGGCTTCCAGCAGGCAAACGTTGAAGGTAATGGGATTCTGCGAGTTATGAATTTTAAACACTTCTATAAGCTCTGTCATTTCCAGCTGGATATGAACTCTTCTGATGGAATAGGAATGAGGGAGGCTTTGGAGAACTGCTCTTTTTGTTTTCCTAGGTCTCCCTCACTCATCTCCAGCTCGTCTCTAGATTCTTTTCCAACTGTGCTGTAAAGCTCTTGTGAGACACGCACAAGCCATCAAGCAGACACCAGTTTGCACCAGTGGAAATGAGGAAAACTCAAGTTTTAGCTTAAGATGGAGAGAAATTTCCTAATGTTCCTGTCATGCTCCAGAAGATCCAATTTCATTACCTACAATCAAAAGCAAATGAATTTATCAAGTTTCTAATGAACACATGGTTTTAAACTGCCACAGGGGCTCAAGAATTACAAACCCAGAATGTTTCAACTCAGGAGAGCCAAATCACCATTACTTCTTCCAGAAAATACAGAATAGAGCAAAATGTTTCTTCAGTCGGGACAAGTCTATCACCCAGGTGGACTCCTCTCTGAGTTATACCACTCTTTTTTTACTGATTTTTGAAGGCTAGAAAAATATGGGCACATTTACTGATTCCAAAGAAAATACAGAGACTTCCCCCAGCGTTTCTCTGCTGCGTGCTGCCTCCCCTGCTCCCTGGAAGGAGGCTGTTCCAAAAGCCAGGTCCTTCTGCACGTTGTCTGTGTTATCCCCCCAAAATGGTTTAGATCGTTTGAAAAACTACAGCTAGTTTAAAGCAATGCTATTGTAGCAGTCAGACATGACTGGGAAAGTTACTCAAAAAACAACCGAGTTGAACTAGCTTAATATAAACATTCCAGTTTTGTTCTATAAAAGAAATGCAAATAATTCATCACACGCAAATCAGCCATGCACTGCATAAATACAAGTAAAATTTCCTTTCCTTCTGTGCTGTAGCACTTCGCTCTGCAGAGTTCTGTACATTACCCAGAGAGTCAGACACTGGGAGAGAAAGGGACTGTTGAGCAGTGTTAAAAAGTTCAGTGCTGTTACTGATGTTGCAGCTGCTTATCCGGGAGGAAATAATGGAGAGAGCATTGGAGGCAACGAGATCAGCCATGAAACGTTTTACACAAAAGCAGAGTTCTATGAAATACTCAGTCTTTTTGGTTTTAAGACACAACCTGGGATTTCTTCTTTTCTATGTCCTATTTTAACAATGCACATATAAACCTGCATAGGAAATTAGCTAGGTAAGGCTTCCTTGGACGAGTAACACAATAAAGTGGCTGTGTTGTATAGAAATACAAGCCACATGAAGAATAACCAGGGGAAGCAGTTGGTGCCAGTGTACCCAGCTACTATGTCCATGGGATGGGGAGTCCTTGCTTTCACTCTCTACCCAATGAAACTGCAGTGGACGTGAAATTCCTGTATACGCTACGTTTTTGTTCTTAAATTCCTAACAGGACTGCTGTCCATCACAGTAAAGCATACAGCTGGAGCCAACACCTCTCGTTTTCCCTCCATCATAGCAGGAGGGACTCTGCTCTGCCTAACCAAACACAAGAGTAACATTTCTAGTGTTATGAGACATGCCGCTGGATTAAGATCTAGCAGGAGCTAAGATCCAAACTTTCCACAAATGCTAGTGCAAGCATGTGAAGAAAGGCAACACCGAAGGAAGGGTAGGAGAGTCTTTACTCACCTATTAGTGAATTCAGAGAAGAGTAAGAGCTGACTCGTCTCATCTTGTCAATAGTCTCAAACGACAGGATGTACTCTTCATTCTCAGGGCTGCCCAAGGTGCTGCTGGCGCTGCTGCTGGTGCTGAGATTCCCAGGAGAAAAAGCAACAGAGCTTCCAGCTGCCAAAAGAAAAGGGGGCAGATGCTGAAACAAGAACTGGTGGGAGAACAATTTTTACCCAGGCGTAACAGCCCTTTTCTAAATCCTACAACACTCAATGAAGGTGTAGGCAAATCCACAATGTCCCCTTTTAAACACTAAATGTTTAAATACAGAGTAAGCATCAAGGAGTCAGAAATGATTCAGCTAAAAATCCATGTATGTTAGGAAGTTGGAAGGCATGTTTTTAGCCCCTAAACGTTCAGAAAAATCAATACTAACAACTAGAAAATTGAAACTAATCATGAGGGGGCTTCTCATCTAAGCCCTTGGAGCTGGCAGCTGGATAATCTGGGCTAAAATGTTAGTTTCAGCTCATATTGTTTTGCACGTGGCATTTCCTAGCTTGCAGGAGAAGGCGGGGAAAGAAGAGGCAAAAAAAAAAAGAAAATTTGAAATGTCTCTTACATTCTTCATTCAGGCTGAGGTTCTGCAAGGACTTGTTCAGGTTCCTAGCTGTGGTAACTGCTCGGATGTTCCCGTAAGAGCTGACGGACCGCAGCCTCGGCGTACACGGACCATCTCGCACTGGTGTCAAACTCCCACCCTCTGTGGATGCAAAATTTAGCAATTATAGATGTAACCAAAGCAATCATAGCCTTTTGGTTATTTCCCAGCAAATATATAACTAAAATACTACCAATATGAACAGAATTTAGTCATTGCCCCTTAGAATGAGGTACAACAAAGGATCCTCTGTGCACATAATCAGCAAGGACCACATGTCTCTGCTGTTTAGGCTGTGATTTTGTTACGTCCAATAAAACCAGGTGAGCCAAGCCTTGCCAGTGCCTGCAGACTACCCAGAGAGGCACAATGACTCTTCTCCCCAGGTCGATGCTGGGCCACTGCCCAGACATTGTGCTACGACACGCTGCTATAGCAGACGCCATTTAGTAGGCAGCATTTGCAGGCTTCTGTCTGCTTCTGCTCATTAAAAATCCAGTAAATTTTCTCATTATAAAGAGTTATGAAAATTCTGGTTTCCTGACCAAATTTTAGGCCTGGTTTCAACTCATATTTCACCCATGACCTGGATTACTTATAATTTCCCAAACTTTCTAATTTTCATTCTTGAATACACACACAGTACCATGGCTTCAGAACAGCTATTTTATTTCACTGCAGAGGTGGTTGCATTATGGTGATGGGGCCAATGCTTCCAGTGCATCCTACTTATAAATACTTCAGGATTCTTTTGGATAAAAAAAAGCACTATATAAACTGCACACAATGTTTATTTCCTGCAGCAAAAAGGACAAATGTGGAGAAGCTTATTTTCCAACATGATTTAGTTATTCAGACAATAGGGGGATTAAGCTACTCATTGCAGAGACAGCACATGCTCTTGTCTCCAAGCTTCCATTGCAACAGTCCCATTATCCTTCAAGATTTCCAATGTACTTAACATCTCAAGAAAACGTGAGGTTAGCAACAATTTCACTAGGGCTCTTCATTCCTCACATAAAGCAATAGGCACAACGAAAGGGATGGGACCATAGGCACGAAGCATAAAGTTCTTCACTGCTGCTTGTCTGGTGCTTTACAGCAGCAAAGAGTACAGTTGGTTCATTGTTCTGTGGTGAGGCTTCTCATTAGGTCAACATGACACTGAAGTTTCGGGTATAATTTGAGGGGAAAAAAAAAGTCCGGTAAACCTGTGTACTGCCTTGACAAATATACTTCAGTCTTGATCTGAAGGGAATCCCTTTGAATTTGACAGGGTGTTCAGTCTCTACAACTTGCTGGTATGCTATAGCTGTGTTTTAGATGGAGAGTCAGCAGAAGATGCATTTCTCCAGTGCAATATATTATAGTGCTAAACAGACATCAGAGCTACCCACCATGTCACTCAACTTTGTAGCACCGGTGCCGTTTGATAAATCACCACCAGCAAGAATTTCATTGCGTTGGGCAAACTCCTTAAATAAAAGTTCCGAAGTGCTCTCAGGCTATACGTTTCCTGCCCACACAAACACAAAACACCTACCTGTGGTAGCTGGAGAAGGGAGAGGGTAATTCTTCTCTTCTTCCATGAACTGCAAGGCAACGGTGCAGAAATTGCTCTCATACTGAACCACCAGGTGACTTAAAGCCACCACCAGCTCCTACGGAAAGAGCAGAAGAAGCGGGTATTTCATGGTTACGTAGGTCAGAACCAACAGATCAAAGGGAAATACAGAACAATATGGTCATTATTGTTGATATTATTGGGTGGCCATCCAGACTAATAATTTTACCTTCACTTCACAGGGATGAACTGAAGAAAGCCAGAGGACTCTCCTTCAAATCTAATTCTTCACAAGTCTTTTATACCTGAACAGGCTCCCACTGCTCTTTGATTCTGCCCAATATTGTCAAACCGATGCAGCGTCACAGACAGTACTGAACTGGTGATTAGCACCCAGCTCCTTCTGCTCCTGCGCATGCAGCAGTCTCGCCCCCGAGAAGCGTTTGTTTCCTGCAGAGCAGCAAGGAGCTGTGCCGAGGATCGGTGTCCTCAGCCCGCCGCAGCACAGCCTGACCCTCTCCCTGTGCTGCACACGTACGCACGGAGCGGAGCTCTCTTCCTACAGCCTGTCCTACACTTGCTCTGAGCTGAAGGAAACAGAACCTGACAAGAGGCCCCTGGGGACATGGCTCAGCTCTTCCACAAAGAACCCCGGTGTTCGAATCCTATGCTGAACTGCAGAGCCTTGTACTGGCCGGCACAGTCAGCAGCTAACATGAGAACGGTGCTGCCTACCTGCAAGGGATCATCACTCCGTTCATTCTCATAGCTGCAATTCGAGAACCTGAATTACCGGGGTGGGGTGGGGAGGGTAGAGAAGGTAAAGTTCAGACCCTCAATTAGGTACTGCTTGCTAGGCACTTGGAAACAGCAAAGAGGAGAGGTGGAGAGCTGGCTTTGGTTGCTGTTCTCTGTTCAGGGGACTAACCTCCAAAAGAGAGATTTATGAATCTCAGAGAGCATATAGTGTGACATGCATGTTTTTCTTGAATTAAACTGATTAATTGCTGGAACGAGACAACAAAAATTATTCCTCACAATGCTGGTGACAACTGTCAGGGTATTGACATTCTGGTTAAGTAAACACAAGCATTAGGACACCTAAGTACACCCATGAAGAACAATCCAAAACGTCAAAAACTATTTGATGTGCTATCGATGTACAACAGCACATCAGAAATTGTAATTCTCCAAAACCTGAAGAATTACTTTGTCTGTCATCCATCCTTGTGGTTTCTAAAAGCAGCAAGATGTTTTTACTGAACAGAACTCTCATGTTCTCTCCACAGCACTCTTACTCCCTCTCCTCTTCCTGCCCTAGGACTGCCACATACTCCACGTTTCTAGCAACACGTTACTATTTCATTTAAAATCTGAGAACCTGTAATGTAAATTTTTGCAGTCAAAACAGTAATCAACAGAAGAGCATTAGTAGAAGAGTAGCCCAGCAAGAATTTTCAGTGTTTCATGCACCTGAAAAAGACTTCAGTGCAATTGCTCTCCTTCCTTACCCCTGTCTTCGCATTCTCTTTAAATTAAAAAAAAAACAGGATATAAAAATTCCCACAAAATCCTGAGACTGTTACTCCTATTTCAGACACTTGCTTAGTGGCATACACGAGCTAAATCAGAGGTCCAGTGTTAAACAGCAGAAACATTGTGCTCTGAACAACAATCTTGTCAACACCTGGACACAATGACATACTACACTTTACTTGTGTTATTCCCGTCAGTAGGCTCCTTATATTGCAGAGTAAATGTTGTAATATGTGCATTGAAAAAGGGCAAGTGGATAAAACAGCATCCCAGGACGCTACTGCGTGTAACCACCCTGCGCGTGCAGCGTAAGGCTCGGTGCCGAGCCTTCAGCCGCAGCAGTAGGTTGATGCTGCTGTTTTCACTGGTGTCGTCATGCGTGCGTGGTGCTTCTCAGCAGG